ATAACCAGCGAAGATCGAAAATCGAATGCAACTCATAATAAGGGCCTAAATCTAACTGTCCTCCGCTTAAGGTACTACAGTTTACGAGCCGTTCACATATTGCACATACTAATGCATACATATGTACATGTATGTAGCGTGAAATGACTACTAAAATCACACAAACAAGCAAACATTTTTGACCAATTCACTTCATGCGCGTCATTGCACTCCTCTCACTGCATTTCCACTCTACTTTCGTTCCATGCCTACTATTTATGTGGTTATGTACACTCGCTTTTATGCCTGCCTGACTTATGGTTTGGTTATGTTAGCACTTACCTGCCGCTGCGCTGTGTCGAGTAGCCGAAGCAGCCAGATTCCTGGGCAATGTCATGCAATCGCCCATGGCGACACCTGCGCCACTGGTTAGTAATAAATTGCCGCGTGAGTCGAGCAGCGCGGCGGTCATGCCACCGCCACCATTGCCGCTACTGACACCCACTCCGCCGCCGCCGCCGCCACCACCTGGGTTGCGTCCATAGTTTATTGAGCTTGTGTGATGTAATGTGCCCGCTTTGGGCAGCGTCATCATGCCGGGATTATAGGCGAGATTGCTGGTCATGGTAACATTTCCAACGCCGCCACCTCCACCACCGCCGACACTTGTCGCAGCGCGCCCGAATGTTTGTGAACTCATGCCTTTGATCTGCATGTGCTCACGTTGTTGTTGTTGCTGCTGCTGTTGTTGTTGTTGTTGTTGTTGTTGATGTTGTTGCATATGTTGTTGCTGCTGCTGTTGCTGTTGCTTGGTTGTCGTGCTATAAGTCACGTTGCAGCCACCGCTGCTTCCCATCAGGCCAGCGGCCACGTCTGGTGACCCGCTGACCATAATCCCACCACCTTGTTGCTGTTGCTGCTGCTGCTGCTTGGCGGCTGCCGACATGCCACATAGGTCAACACTACTACCACCACCCTGCTGCTGTTGCTGTTGCAATGTGGCGCTGAGTTGCATGCCACTATTGGCGCAAATATGCGGCGGCGGTGGCTTAACATCAGCTGCGTTCGCTGCCGCCGCAGCAGCAGCCAGCAGCATGGCGCCCTGATCGCCTCCATGATTTTCCACGTCGACAATCACATTGGCGCTCTGTGAGTGGCCCATGTGGTAGTGGGCGTGCTTGATGGGGTCTGGCGGGTAGGGCACCTGCTGGTGCATGCTACGCTGTTGGTATTGCTTTTGCAGTGTCTTCACCTCCAGCCGCGTCTTGTCGCGCTGATAGTAGACGCCGGCGAAAATGAGCACGTTGAGGATGAGCAGACTGCAGCCGATGGCGATGGTCACGCTAAGCGCTGTGGAGTAGGCCGCATAGCCGGCTGCCTCGAATCCGGAGGACAGTGAGTCACTGGACGAGTTGGCCAGTGTGTTGGGAGCGAATGCGCCGCTTGTGGCTGCACCGGCACCAGGAGTGTAATTGCCACCCACTGGGATGCATGTGGTGAACATGTTCGGCTCGACGGTGGTCACTGCAAAGAGGTAGGGAAAAAAGGAAAACTGTAGCATGAGAAAAAGCAATTTCTTAACATGTCGGGAAAATGTAAAAATAGAGGATATAATTTATATTTTTAATTGTAAATACAAACTTGATGGGCTGGTATTTGTACCAAATAAGTGTGGACTTATAAGAGACTAGCGGGGTATGTAATCTAGCTAGTGTAGCTCTCAAGGCTTTATTGAATGTTGTACGCGTAGATATTGCAGGAAAAGCTACCGCGGCCTGTTTCAGGTTTGGGGGAAACTAAAATTTCCTCGAATTCGACTCAGTACCTGAAGAAGCCGTGGCCATAATAATTTCGTAATCTCACAGTCTTCTCGTTTGTTCCACAATTCATTAGTCGCTTCCACGATGTATATTCAGATCAATATTCCTAACATGATCACTAAACGGTGGTAGTACAGAGCTGTAGGGTTCTTCTATGTATTGGCATCACTGAACCGTATCTGGCCTTCAATATTGCTATGGGAACCCAGCATAGAGTGACGTTGATACGGCTCAGTGACGCCAGCGTGGTGTGACATTTCTAAACAATTCCCGATTTCTTTATTTTGCTGCTTGACTATCCACAAAGGTAGTGACTTAATGATCGCCCATCAACAATTATTTTTTGACTTTTATTTAATTACTCCATAAATATGGAATTTGTTTTTTTTTTGATTTTTATTTTACAGATCCAAAATAACTATTATTTTTGATTTTTATCTAAATAATCTGCAGTTAACAGTAATTTTTGATTTTTAAATTATATACCTTAGATAACAATTATTGAAGACGTTTATTTTTGAAATCATACTTATAAAATCCACACATATAAGTCGTAGTAAACTTCGGTTCTCCAACACCTTCTTAACAGCCAAAAATGATAATGACTTTTATACGTCCGATTGAAAAAATAAAAGTCGGTGACTGATTTTTATTGATCACTTTTATAAATAAAAGTCTTCAATAACTGTTATCGAAGACATATAATATAAAAATCGCAAATAACTGTTATTTACAGATTATTTAGATAAAAAAACCCTTATTTTGGATTTATAAAACAAAAATCGAAAATAATTGTTATTTTTTTAAATTTTCCATAAAAATTACAAATACAAATTTATTTTAAAATTTGAATCGCGGTAAAAAAAGAAATCGATTGGTATATATCACTTCATGGTAGAACATTTCCTTCATAGTGAATTTTTCAATGACAATTTTCATCAATAACAGTATGGTTCGGTCCCTGCTTTGAAAACAAAAGTTATATTTTAAGCGAATTTATACATAAAAAAATTATATGTAACTTAATTAATTTGTGACCTAAAAATTTAAATTTTGAACCACTGTAAAAAAAAATTAATGTGGTAGTGCAAAGTCGTTTTGGAATTTTACCACCACGCATTGATACAATATTTTGGTCAAAGCCATATAAAAAAGATTAAAATCGATCTTCCACTCAGCCATCGAAATGCACTAATCCAGGCAGGCCGTAAAAAGTTTACTTTTAACTAATTAAAGTTTCCAGCTCACGAATTCAGTGCCTTACTCTTTTGTACAAAAATACTAAGCGCTTTAGAATTTCTGGCCAGTTGCTGGTAAAACAGAGAATAAGCAGCCAAAGTTGTGGCTAACTCATACAAAATAAGTAAATTTAATTTCGAAAGCTTCAGCATTGTGGACAACTAGAATTTTAATACAAATTAAAAGGTTGCAGCAAAATGAAGCCGCACAAAAATATCGTTTCGAAGTGCTGCTGGCTGCCAGAAATTGTCCAACAATGCTGGCAAATGAATAAATAAGTAAGTGGCCAGCTGTAGTGTTAGTCTGAGAG